GAATGGTTGTTGTCATATTTGTAAGATTTTCATTAAAAGACCCCTTGTAAATAATAATTAGTAACACTAACAATGATGTCTGACTGGTTGTTGTCATATTTGTAGGGTTTTCATTTAAAGACCGCTTGTAAATAATAACTAGTAATACCAACGCAGATGTTGGAATGGTTGTTGTCATATTTGTAAGATTTTCATTAAAAGACAGCTTGTAAATAATAACTAGTAATACCAACGTTATTTGACTGGTTGTTGTCATATTTGTAAGAATTTTATTTAAAGACCCTATGTAAATGATAACTAGTAACACCAACGTTATTTGATAGGACGAGGACAACCCAACTCACAATTTATAACTTAAAAGAGCACGTTATGAATAAAGATCAATAGTAAATTATGTTTAAGCAAGTGACGTTTGCCTCGGATCGGAAGGTCGTAGGTTTGCTTCCTGGCGGAGCCTGACCTTTTTCAAAAATGACCTTGGCTCCCAGGTCGACTCAGGCTTGAGTGGGTAACGGGTGCAGTCTCGGGAAATAAAGGCGGCCGGCGTGATGCTGATCACATCACCTATGTTGTGCCGATTGGTCTATAAAAAATAGATCTAGCCCTATATGCCAAGAAGCCTAAAGAGTTGGAAAAGGGTCCTTGACTTTACTTTTACTAAGAGACAAGTGAAAAATCCACAACTGTATTGAAATATTATTTTCATTTGCGTGATTCAATAACCCGGCAGCTACACGATCATGATGATGGAATCTATGAGAAACCTTCATCTTGTGTTGGTTATTGGGGTCATGTGTCTCGTGCAGACGATTGCACGTATTTGTCCATATAGTGACACGGTGAGTTACATTAACTTGGAGACAGAAAAGCAAATATGTGACTGTTTTTATGCCATAGGGTTGCTCTTAGTACATATTATGTTAATATGTCGATATTTCACCGTTTGATATGAAATATCTTCTTATCCTCCTCTGTGTTAATCTGTGAACTGTATTCTCCTCTTCCTTCTTCTTTTGTATGTCGTGTAAAATGTAATTCCCACCTCCTCCTCCTTCTTGTTCTGGGTGTGTGTATGTATGCATGTTTGTTGATGTGTGTATGCATTTGTAGATTTATAAGTATGTGGGTGTACGTGTGTGTGTTTAGGTATGTATGCAAGTATGCATGTATGTGTGTAAAGATGTAGGTGTATGTATTGATGTGTGTATATGTTTGTATGTATGTATGTTTACATGTGAGTGTATATGTGGTTGTGGGTGTCTGTACATGTGATTGTATGTGTGTGTATGAAGGCATGTGTAGTGTGTATGTATGGAATGTGTGTGTGCATATATCTCCATATATTATGTGTGTGTCTTTTCTGTTTGTGTACATATGTAGATGTGTTTATGTATGTATTAGGTATGTCTGTATATGAGTTTGCATGTATGAGAATTTGAGAGTATATATATGTGTGTGTGAGTGTGTAAGACTGTGTACACCTGATGTGTGTATGCATTATTCGGTAATGTATATTTAATTATTATATCCATAACATGTATTTTAGATAACAGGCATTGGTACTCTGAAAATTGAGTACTTAGAAGGGCCGAATGTCAGACGGGCCTGCGTACCCAATTTGTAACCCTTTGAAAATAAAGTTTGTTCGTTCGTTCGTTCTCCTTGTCGTTGTTGCTGCTCTTCTTCCTTTAAACCTCCTGGTCTTCCTCAGTCGCTGCTCCTCATTCTGATGTTCCTCTTTTCTTCTTTATATTCATTGACCTTTGTTGTTGTTGTTCGACTTCATCAACGTGCAAACAATGAAAATTGAATGTGGTTATCTACTGTGAGTCGACTCTGTGGCTAAATTGATGCGAACGCTTCGTAATGCCAGGGTGCCGGGTTCGATCCCAGCTGCGGGCCATGCACCTTGCGTTGGTTTCGACAGTGATATCAAGGAAGCCGACCGTGCAGTAAGCAATGGCAGACTACTGGACGTAAATTTGCCTAGAGAAACCACACAACAGCCAGGGGTTGCTGGGGTTGGTTCTGCAACGTCCTGTAGAGAATACGCAACTAACCTTTCTACTGTGATGTCAATGTCTAGAGGGGAGCTTTTCAAACTTTCGAAACGCATTTGTGTGCCGGCTGCAGTGTGAAGGTGTGTCGAGAGAAAGCGTAAATGCGTCCTTATATCTTTTTTTTGTTGTCTTGTTTGCTATTGGACTCAATTACTGATTCGCGAGGGGGTTCTCTGGGGTGAAGTGGGCAAACCGTTAACTCGCGCTCTGAAGGCTGTAGGTTCGTTTTACTTCTGCGCTGCTCAGTTCACAAATGCAGTTGTTATAGAGACTCCTGGCGATCGTCAATGGAGCTAGGGTGTTCGTGCTTTAGGCAACGTTCTCAGCAGGTGACTTGTGGTCTCCGGAGTGAGACCGAGCTATATGGAATAAAACCCGGTGCAATCAAGTCGATCCTCTCTCTTTTGACTTTTAACTTGGTCGCGAAATTATGTATGTTTTAATGATGTGTCATTATCAGGAAAATTTGGAAAGCTCTGGTAAAAGAATAACATTCAGAGTTACTGTAGTGAAATTACTCGAAGGGGAACCACATTCTGGGAAAACTGTTTACTGCCTATGTAATTAGTAAAGTTAGTTTGGGCAAAGTAATGTAGTGTAGTGCAGAGTAACAGGGAGTAAAGCGTAGTGAGGCTAGGTAAAGTAATGTCAACTGAAGTATAAAAAAAAAAAAAAAAATTTAAAAGAAAATCTAAACTAAAGTATTCGAAGAGGTATAACGGCTAGACTTTTGCCTGCGTTTCAAAAGGTCGTTCGTTCAAATCTGTTTGGGACCAACGTTGTTTTCCATATATCACAATGGCTCTGAGGTTACCCCAGCCTTTAACGGGTACCAGGTAAAATCATGGAACGTAAAGGCGGCTGTGTGATGCTGACCACATAATGCAATGAGTACTAATTTGTCAGTGCAATATAGATCTCTCACTATATGCTCAATACTGCAGATGGAGTGGAAAAGTTTCCTTAAGATCAAACAAAATTAATATAAAGTAACGTAAATTAACGTAAAAGAAAGTAATGAAATTATTCTTTTCTGGGAAAATAGTATTTTAAAGCGATCTTTTTTTTTTTTCACAAATTGCAATTCCAAATTTACAAAGAGATAATGTTTTACCAAACTAGACTTGCTAAATAATAATACTGTCACTGTTGTCTGTATGACATTTATCCTTTTTCTGTTCATGGAAGTTGATTTATAAAAGTCTCAACGTCTACGGTCGACGTCAGAGCCAGTCATGATGACATCCTTTCTTCTGTCTGTCGGCAGAGATGTAGGTGTCTGCAACAGACTGCCATCTGCAGTGACCTGCAAGAAACCCCATCTTTTGATACTGGAGTCAACGTGAGCGACATTATTGACCTTTCATTTGAGGTAAATCTCTTTAACAACGGCTTTCATTTAAGTTAGGTAACTCTGTAACAATGGCTTTTATTTGAGGTAAGTCTCCTTAACAAGGGCTTTCATTTGAGGTAAGTCTCTGTAACAAAGGCTTTCATATAAGGTAAATAACTCTCTGTAACGACGGCTTTTATTTGAGGTAAGTCTCTGTAACAAGGGCTTTCGTTTAAGAAAGGTAACTCTCTGTAACAACGGCTTTTATTTGAAGTAAGTCTCTTTAACAAGGGCTTTCATTTAAGATAGGTAACTCTCTCTAACGACGCTTTCATTTGAGGCAAGTCTCTTTAACAACGGCTTTCATTTAAGATAGGTAACTCTGTAACAATGGCTTTTATTTGAGGTAAGTCTCTTTAACAAGGGCTTTCATTTGAGGTAAGTCTCTGTAACAAAGGCTTTCATATAAGGTAAATAACTCTCTGTAACGACGGCTTTTATTTGAGGTAAGTCTCTGTAACAAGGGCTTTCGTTTAAGAAAGGTAACTCTCTGTAACAACGGCTTTTATTTGAAGTAAGTCTCTTTAACAAGGGCTTTTATTTGAGGTAAGTCTCTGTAACAAAGGTTTTTATTTAAGGTAGGTAACTCTCTGTAACGACGGCTTTCATTTGAGGTAAGTCTCTGTAACAAAGGTTTTTATTTAATGTAGGTAACTCTCTGTAACGACGGCTTTCATTTGAGGTAAGTCTCTGTAACAAAGGTTTTCATTTAAGGTAGGTAACTCTCTGGTAGGTAACTCTCTTAGGTAATCCTAACGCCCCCCCCCCTCCTCCTTTTCCCACCCTTCCCATAATATTAAACTTTCCCGGTAATTCCCCACAAAATCTGCGAGGCCCCGAGATCGGGGTGAAATAAAAGAGAAGAGCCATAACTCTGAGTGATTGCATTCAAGCTAATGTAAAGAAATTATTAAAAATTTTGAAAAACCCGACCAATGTCACTATCGTCTTCTTTTTGTCTCTCCTTTGATGTTATCTTTTGATTGATCAATTTTATAAATCTGACATTCGATTCCCCACTTCTACCAAGGAAGCGTGTTAACGTTTCGTTGTCTTCAAGACAGAAACGGAGCATGTATAGGAATGTTCCAAATATATTAGTGTCATTTCAATATCTCATTTGCTCGCCCATTCACTCATTCATTTACACACTCACCCTTTCACTCACTCACTCATTAACTCACCCACTCACGTGCTCGCTCGCTCACTCACTCACTCACTCATTAACTGCCTCATTTAATCACTGACTCAATGACTCACACACATAGTCACTCAATTACTCACTCACTCACTGACTCACACACTCGCCCACTAATTCACTCACTCACTCATTCACTCACACACACATTAACTCACACGCTCACTCACTCATTCGCTTACTTATTCACTCACTTTCCCTCTCACTTAACTCACACACTCACTCACTCATGTATTCATTCATTTACTGACTGACACACTCACTCATTCATTCACTCAGTCATTCATTCATCCACTCATTCGTTATTTACACAACCTAAAATTGTATTTTGTTTTTCTCATTTTTGCAGGAAGGAAACATAAATAGTGTCTCCAAGAACAGTTTACCCCCCGGCCTTATCTACTTCAGTTCCTTTCACAACCCACTCACTAACCTTTCTGAAGACGCCTTTGACGCATCAGCAGGAACTCTACAGTTTGTATCCCTTTCTGAATCTCAGTTCACAGGAATACCAACAGCTCTACAGAAATTGGCCTCATTAACTCAGCTAGCTATCAGGGACACTCTGATTGAACAGTGGGATCCTGCAATAGTTAAACAGCTAGCTACCACACTTAAGGAGCTGGAACTCAGAAATGTGAGTTTATCTGCATGGCCAAGCTGGATTTCTGACTTCCGTTTGCTACACAAACTCGACCTCAGCTGGAACTCTCTGAGATTTATCCCTGACGACGCATTCAGCTCCGTAAAAGACTCCCTGGTAATTTTAGACCTCAGAGGAAATGGTCTGACTCACGTACCTTATGCACTGTCCATACTCTCAAATCTGAGCAGACTGCACTTAAGTTACAGCAATTTTACAAATGTACCAGCACTTGAATTTATAACAGAGACTCAGATTGCTCAGAAACTTAGCTACTTAGATTTAGACTCATCTGGGCTGACAAGAATAGCAAACTTTTCAGTCTTGACAAGTCTAGACACACTTAGCTTATCTGGCAACAGAATATCACAGGTTCCCCCTGTCTCACTTCCAGCATCTCTATCAGTGTTGTATCTCTCAGACAATTTTCTTTCATTTGTGCCTGCAGACATTGCCAGGATGTCAAATCTGTCTTTTTTAGCCTTGTCTGGCAATCTAATCACATGGATTGAGCCAAATGTCTTTCCGCCAAGTCTAACATACTTACAACTGAGCTACAACAATTTAACTACAATTACAAATGCAACTTTTGCAAACCTCAGTCTGTTAATGGATTTATATTTGGATGCCAATCCAATCTCAGAACTGTGCCTTGCAGCATTCTCAGAACTCGTATCGCTAAAATACCTTTCCATGGTAGATTCACAACTGACAGAAATCCCTCTAGCGTTCACACATTTGAGCACAGAAGTTCATTTATACTGGACCACGAACCAGCCATTGACTTGTCCTTGTCCAGCGTCCCAAGAACTCATTCAATGGTTTACGTCACGTGCGTTTGCTGAGTATATTCAGGTCAAGTGCAACAGTGAACAGTCGATTCGCTCTTATCTGAGTGATCAGTGTGGGAGAGCATCAACCGCTTCTTAACACGTTTTTTTTTTCTACGACCCATCTATCAGACAAAAGAAAAGAAAAGAAAAAAATAAAAAACTCTGAATTTCAGTAGAAGACAACAGGTGAAATGGTTTGGCCATATAACAGGGATGTCAACAGACAGTATACCACAGCAAGCAGTGATCTACAGACCAGAAGAAAAGCGAAGAAGAGGCCGACCACTCGAACGAAGGACAGGACGAATTACATACAGAGGCCCTAGGAGTCCCAATTTATGAAGCACACAAACGGGTTCCTCAACTTGAATTGCCACATCTTTGTCTTTTAGTTTCTCTATGGCTATCTGATCCATTAGCTGTGGTGTTTTATCAATGTAAATTCTTGTTGGTTTATAGAGCCAAAGTACTACAGGTCTATGGTCAGAGTCTATTATTGCATTTGGGATGGCCCTGGAGTTCTTTATTCTCCATCTGTAGCTCTTTTTTTGTGAGTATAAAATCTATCTGTGATGCTTGGTTAATATTATTCCATTTATACCAGGTCAATATCTTGCTTTTCTTATGTTGGTATAGCGTGTTGCTGATATAATTATGCTCTGCACATACATTGAGTAATTGTTCTCCATTGTTGTTACATTTATTTTCTTTGTCACTAAATGGTCCCATATATGTGGACCATGGAGGTCGACGTTCTCCCACATGTCCGTTGAAATCTCCCATCGCATACAAGCCATCAGTGTCTGTAACTTTACTGATGGTTTCACTAAGTTGGTCAAAAAATTCCGTTCTTTCTTCTTCAGTGTAAGTGTCGTTACAAGGAGCATATACTTGAATATACGATACTCTTCTTTTACCTGCAGCCAGTCTGATACTTATGATTCTCTCTGACACAAATTCTGAATCTAGTAAATATTTGGCTGTTTCTGGAGCAATGATAAAACCCACTCCATGTTTGTTAGTTTCTTGTGGTTGAGTCCCTTTCCAAATCAGAACAAAGTTCTTATGAATTTTCTGGACGCCTTGAGCTTTTTTTCTGATATCAGCAATTCATCCAAAGATCTCGTTACCAGCCAGACAACTGATGATCAACAGCATTTTCATCCCTATGTTATTTTATCAGTGCCAAACGTGGACAATGATCAAATCACATATGCAAAAAATAACTGCGTGTGAAATGCGATGTCTCCGAAGAGTCACCAACAATACACGAAGAGACAGAGTCACAAACGTCAGCATTAGAGACAAAGTTGGAACAAGAGCATGCATGAAACATATTGAATGACAGAGAATGAAGTGGTTTGGTCATTTAGTAATAATGCAACCGGATCAGATTGCCTATAAGGCCTTTTACAGTAGAACATCGGGAAGAAAGGCCAGAGGAAGACCCAGGAAAAAATGGATAGATGGAGTAGCTGAATACGGCCAGAAGATCCAGAAAACTGTCACTCAAATCACGCGGAAGGCACAAAACAAATATTTTAAACCACGACACTGGGCTGCAACCCGGTAAAAGTGAAGAAGACGATAGATAGACAAACGGGTTCTTTCCCGTAAATTAAACTTATCTTTTACACCACAAGGTACGCGATGATAAAGATAAGATAAGATGCGATAGATAAAACATACCATTAAATGTGTAACTATTCCTAAAATAGTCTGCTTTCTGCATTAACTTCAGTTACACATTTGGAGCCCCTTTGGCTTAGCGGTTAGACGTTTGCTTTAGATCCAAACGTTATGGTCATGGTTAGAAATCAGACTAGATTACGTGAGCCATATAAAACGGCTTAGAATTTCTCGCCACCAAGAAGCACTGAAACGGACGTTTGCAGTGTTAATGTGATCAAAGAAGGTTAGTTGCGTATCCTTTACAGGACGTTGTAGAACCAACCCTAACAGCCCCTGGCTGTTGTGTGGTTTTTCCAGGCAATTTACGTCTAGTAGTTTGCCATTGCTCCTGGACGGTCGGCTTTCTTGATACCACTGTCGAAACCAACGCAAGGTGTATGGCCGCAGCTGGGATCGGACCCGGCATTTCGGCATTACGAAGCGTTCGCATCGACTTTGCCACAGAGCCGACTGATCAAAGGAGACAGACCCAAATACTGTCCCGATCAGAGACGTAGTCGTCTACCGGTGAGCCAATGGGCGACAGGTCGCCGATAACTTACCCCTAGTTGTCATAGACTGATAGAGTGAGGGAAGTAATAAAATTATAATGGGTACAGGCAAGAGTTACCGACATTATATTAGCCCGTGGAGAAATTATTAAAAAAACCAGCGACTGGTGTCCAGTTAAATGTAAGTCGAAAATACGCAGGGAAAAGGGACAGCGACTAAAGGACTAGTATGTGGAGAAGAGGCAGGGAAAATGGAAAGTGACTGAAGGACCAGTATGTGGAGAAGAGGCAGGGAGAAGGGAGAGCGACTGAAGGACCAGTATGTGGAGAGAACGCAGGAAAAGGGACAGCGACTGAAGGACCTGTATGTCGAGAAGAGGCAGGGGAAAAGGGACAGCAATTGAAGGACCAGTATGTGCCTGAAGAGGTAGGGGAAAAGGAACAGCGACTGAAGGACCAGTATGTCGATAAGAGGCAGGGGAAAAGGGACAGCGATTGAAGTACCAGTATGTCGATAAGAGGCAGGGGAAAAGGGACAGCGATTGAAGGACCAGTATGTCGATAAGAGGCAGGGGAAAAGGGACAGCGATTGAAGGACCAGTATGTCGAGAAGAGGCAGGGGGAAAGGGACAGCGATTGAAGGACCAGTATGTCGAGAAGAGGCAGAAAAAATGGACAGCGAATGAGGGACCAGTATAGAAATGCACGACGATGAATGTCTATAGAAAAAAAAAAAGAAAAACAGAAGCTGCTTATCGTTGGTGCATGTCAGAAGTGGGGCAGCCATCTTAAAATTGTTTTTGACAAGACCGTTTTTGTCTGCACCATGATGTCACTTTCAACATCCTTAACAATATTTCGACATGATACAAAACAATGGCATGGTTTCTGATTTTCTTAAAACATTTGTAAGGTTTTCATTAACAGACCCCTTGTAAATAATAACTAATTACACCAACTATGTTGTACTGATTGTTGTCACATTTGTAAGGTTTTTTTTAAGGACCCCTCGTAAATAATAATTAACACCAACCATGTTGGACTGGTTGTTGTCACATTTGTAGATGGTCAGTATATGAATCGCACTAACATTTCTAATGCTCTTACAGATAAATGACGTTTAGATAAATTTTTAACGCAGTATATTTACAGCCCTGTTTTATAGCAAAGATCAGCACAGCCAGGTACGAGAGGTACAACAGGCGTATAAGATTAATCAATTAGCAAGACATGCTACAATTAGTGAGACGATAATGACTAAACTGATCGGTGAATCTGAGCACCTATAGTAGTGACCGGAGTGCAACGAGGACAACCCAACTCACAATTTATAACTTAGAAGACCACCTTATGAATAAAGATCAATAGTAAATTATGTTTAAGCAAGAAACAAGTGGGGAGTAGCAGTGGCCGAGCGGCCTGGCCATTGCTGCGGATCGGAAGGTCGTGGGTGTGCTCCCTGGCGGAGCCGGACTTTTTTCAAAAATACCTTGGCTCCCAGGTCGACCCAGCCTTGGGTGGGTACCGGGTGCAGTCTCGGAAAGTAAAGGCGGCCGGCGTGATGCTGACCACATCACATATCTTGTGCTAATTGGTCTATAAAAAATAGGTCTAGCCCTATATGCCCTAAAATGGTCTTTACTTTACTTTTACTAAGAGACAAGTGAAAAATCCACAACTTTATTGAAATATTTGTATTTGCGTGATTTAATAACACGTGCAGCTACATGATGATGATTAAATCTCCGAGAAACCTCCACATTGTGTTGTTTATTGGGGTCATGTGTCTCGTGCAGACGATAACTCAGATTTGTCCATACAGTGATACGGTGAGTTACATTTCCTTAGAGACAGAAAAGCAAATATGTGACTGTTTTTATGCCACAGGGTTGCTTTTAATCCATACAAGGTCCGACAATGAGGTAATGAGACTGATTGTATTATAGCTGAGGCAAAAAGGCTATCTGTAGTGGAATGATAAGCCATTACACATCAGTCCGTAAGACTGGTAACTTGACCTACCTGTAATCGGCACAAAATTTAAACTTGGACTCGTCCGGGAAAGATATAGTACCTTATATCGATATATATGCCTTTATTGGACAAAATTATTATGTCTACATTTTCTAGTTGCTTTGACTTAACTCCACTTTTAAATGTACATCTATTGGATAAATATTAGAGGAGTTATTTGAGATTCATAGAAACTGATTTACTCCTTGCCCATGTATACTAGGAACTCCTTTTTACCAACGCCTGAAGTGCGTATTTTGCGCCATTCTTTTTGCCTGCTTCCAAGCGTTCAGATGTGTGCATCGACGCCAGAAAATTTCACTTTCATAAGGCTATCTGTAATGTCGGAGACTTTTCCTATGCTTGGGTAAGTTAATTATAGTTTACGAGTACCTAAAACAATGTCTGTTAAAGTGGTCAGTATCGGCTGTGGGATCACGCATAATTCGACCGTTCTTGATCGCTAGAGAAGCGGATTCGAACTTAGACCTTCCTCTGTACAGACTAAATAGCCTATGCCCTAAATAACACACTCATACTGGTAAAACTAATAACCTTACAAGTGTGTACTATTTAAACTAACAACAGAAGTTTGTGCATACAAACGGGGACAGAATTAGGTCAGGACGGGGTCAGCCAGTGTGTGAGTGTGTTTGACCCAGATCATTGAATGGTGGGACTGGCTTGGGAGTCGTAAGGAATAAAGGTACTGACAGTAAATATTGGTGTCTGTGTGCAGAGGGGAGGGGGGAGAGAGATTGATATATGTGTTAGAGTGTCTATCTATCTCCACTATATATCTGACTTTTCATCTCTTGCACTAAACAGACAGATGAATGATAGGAGACTTGTGTCTCCTGGTCTTGAGAGGCATTCTGAGGAATGAAACAGGGGAGCACAG